GCCTTTTCTTCTGCAAACCCCCCCCCCACCACTGGTTAGTATTTATTTGTTGCTAAGTTCACAAGTGCATGCTAGATTTTTTATTTTTATTTTTTAACAGAAATCAGAACTGATAGTCAAGAACTAGGGCAGGCTGAATATGTAGGTTGGGCCAGGTGATCTCAATTTTGGTGAGGGCTTGAATCATATTTTGAAAGTGTTGGTGAATGTTGGTAGACAAGGAAACTAGGAAGATTGCTGAGCACCTCTTATCGTACACTTAAAAATAGGAAGGGAACAGGTAAATGTTTCCAGTTCTGTCTGGCTTTAGTTTCTGGCAGTCTGTAGTGATGGTGTATCTGTAGACTGCCCCAGCTTGCTCCTTCCCCTCTTCCTGAAAGTAAAAGTTATTTTTGAAGTGTTTTAGCCTTAGGCATGTTCAATTTGTCTGCTTAGTTATTTTAGAAGGGCCTTTACTTTTGGCCTCTCTCCCTTCTTCTTTAAAGTTTCTGACTGCAAAAATGAACTTATCCTACAGTTAGTTAGGAAAAGTAGACAGGGTCATTAATTTTCTTATATATGCGGATTTCTTCCAGGCACACCCTTCTAGGTTACTTATTTCTGCACTAGAGCAGGACTACCATTAGGAATTCTTTAGGACTTCATCCAGGTTTGTGGAAGAGAAAAGATGTTTGCGAACGATATGTGTAGTAGCTGTGGTATGAGTGTTATCAAGGAACTTTTAGCTTAAGATTTTATTACTGGTCTGAGTACACATGATCATTGCTTGATTTGTTATTCTTTTCGCCATGTCGTTTACTCAAAAGACTTAGCACAAATTAGGGATATCAAAAGAGGGAGGAAAAATATCTTTTGGGAAAGGAGAATTTTTTTAAAGGTTATTAATCATCAAAGGGGCAGTAGGGTTTTTTTTTTTTCTCTTTTTGAAGATAGGTATTTATGTCTAAATTTTGGATGAGCTGTTTATTTCTTACACTGTGGATTAAAATTGCCATGTATCATTTGACGTAGAAATGCTACTATCCTGTTTTGATCAAATGTACTGTTGCAGGAACTAGTTTACCTTTTAGCAGTGAGAACCTCAGACTAAATGACAGACTTGTCTGCTGTCTCCTGAAAGAGTACTTAGGCCAATAAAAGGAACATACCCTTGGGTCCTGTTGTCAGGAGTCTGTAAGAACAAAGTTTCTGTTCCCTGCTAATCTTGAGTAGGCAAACATAATGAAGACAGTTTTATGGTAGAACTCAGTTTTTCATATGTTTATTAACTTTATAAGATCATGGACATGAAATATGAATAAATTTTAACAAACAGCATAGTTTTGAGTTTTATATCATAATCCCTCAGGTAGTTCAGGTTTTTATAGAGTACATTGAAAACTAATAGCCCCCATAATTTACTTTTTTTGTTAATAGTAAGATCGTAAATTAAAATTTTAAAGCTCATCCACATTTTCACCACCCTGATATGTTAACTGATTTCCTTTGCTTTTTTTATTGTTAATATTACATCCAAATGTATGGTTTTTAACATATATTTTACCCACATTGGTACACAGTCATAAATAGTGTCATTGTATGAATGTTATATTAGTTACATTGATATACTGTCTCTTAATGCATGATTGGACATTTGGGTAATTCCTAATCTTTAATATTTCTGTTATAATGATGGTGGCATTTTAGAAGGGTGTAGACATTTCCTGGATGTGATCTATTATAGGTGGAAGTATGTGAGCCTTTGGGGAGGAGTGTTAAGATAAGGGAATGGCATGTGGTGTATGAATGTGCCAGTTTTTAGTAGTTGAATATTTCTACATTTTTAGTGAGAGAATTAACAAACCATCTACTTAAGTGCCACCTCCTACCTGTATTCTTCAATAGCTTATGGATTCCAAAGAATCTTATTAGTGATGGCTTTGCAGCTTTTTATTTTTTGTCTTGAGACTGCTTCAGATTGAGTTAAAAGACCTGTAAAATAATCATTCTTTTAGCAAAAAGAGAAAAAAAAAAAAGATTACCTTAAGATTTTAAAACAATATCAAAGAAAGATATCAGGATGTTTTGTGTGTGCTTTTATTCTGGGGGGGGTAATTTTAATGAATTTAGCAACTCATTTTTCAGAGTTAAAGATGCAAACGTATTTCCCAAGTCAGTTGAGACAAAAAATAAAAAAAGACAAAAGATGCAAACATAATCATAATTTTTGCATGTTTGTATCAATATGCAATAGTAATAGGTATCTGATGGGTGTTTAGAAGTAGAAGAAAATTTTTTTTTTTACCGAATTTAATTTGTGATCTAAACTTTGAGCAACAGGCCAAAGACACATACTAATTATAATAACTTGAAAAGTTATGGTGATTAAATTTCAGCTTTTATATCTGTTTTTATCAAAAGCAATGCTCCTGGCCGGGCGTGGTGGCTCACGCCTGTAATCCTAGCACTCTGGGAGGCCGAGGCGGGCGGATTGCTCAAGGTCAGGAGTTCAAAACCAGCCTGAGCGAGACCCCGTCTCTACCATAAAAATAGAAAGAAATTAATTGGCCAACTAATATATATAATATAAAAATCAGCCGGGCATGGTGGCTTGTGCCTGTAGTCCCAGCTACTCGGGAGGCTGGGGCAGGAGGATCGCTTGAGCCCAGGAGTTTGAGGTTGCTGTGAGCTAGGCTGACACCACGGCACTCACTCTAGCCTAAGCAGGAAAGCAAGACTCTGTCTCAAAAAAAAAAGCAATGCTCCTAAGAGTATTTTGCTTGAATTTCATGTTTAAAATTAAAACTATATGATCACTTATTACTTTCTAATCCAGTAATTATAAATGAATGGCAACATACTATACATGTGAACCTAAGGAAAATGGTTTTACTTTATTTATTTGTTTTTTGAAATGGGGTCTTGTTCTGTTGACCATGCTGGAATGCAGTGGCACTAACATGTAGCTTATTGTAACCTAGTCCTCCTCTGTTGAAGTGGTCCTCCTGACTTAACCTCCCCAGTAGCTAGGACTACTGGTGCATGCCACTATGCCGGGCTAATTTTAAAATTTTTTTGTAGAGAGATCTTGCTATGTTGCCCAGGCTAGTCTCTAATTCCTGTCCTCAAGGAATCCTCCCACCTCAGCATCCCAAAGTGCTGGGATTATAGGCGTGAGCCACCATGCTCAGCCTGGTTTTACTATTCAACCTGTCTACAAATGTGATTGTTTAATTTTCAGTAAGGAGAAGCAGAAGCTAGTTGTTGTTGCGAAAGTTTTTTCCCAAAAGGAAAATAGTGATTGAGACTTATTTTTATGTTTTATCCTCCAAAGCTGTTGGAATGTTAATAACTTATAGTAGTTACAGAGAATTGGTACATGTGAGAGACCTCAAAGTTTTCCTTGACACTAGGTAAGAGCTCCACCTTGTGATCTTTGAGCATATTTTTAAAAAAGTTAATAACCTACTGTAGTCCAGATATGGTGTGGTAAGTTTGATTTTTAAACTCTTATTTGAACATAACATAATTTTTATAGTTTTTAGTTTCCCAATTTAGGTCAAATGGTATTAAGCACATTTGAAAATGATGTGAAATTTTTAATTTAAGTCTTTGGGGAAAACAAACTATATATATGCATCTGTAGATATTTAAAATAAAAACGTAAATATTCTTAGCTCTTCATATGGATTAAAGTTTATATTCTTTAAAAAAAAAACCTAATGCCAATTTATCCTTTGTGTTCTTTCCTTTTTAAATTACAAAGCAACTTTAATATTTACAATTTTTGTTGAGCTATCATAAACAGTTTTGATGAAAAATTAGTTGTTTAGACAATGATTAAAATAGCAGAAGCCCAAATACATGGAATTTAGCATTCTTACGTTTAATAATATTAGGTGACTATAAGAGGTAGGTGCTTTCTAGTAGAAATAAATGTTTTCACATTTCTCATATAGGTAGTAAGGGCAAGAATCATCATTCTCCTGTTTATGACAGTATTCTCTTTGGCCAGCACATGTGCCAAACACAATTGTTTGGCACATGGTAAATATTTTTACTTGGATGGATTTTTAAAAAACAAATATTTAACCGTGGTATGGAAATGACCAGTTCAATAATGTTTTTCTAAGTCTGTCAGATCATGACACAATATTTTTTCTTTTTAAAAATAGTTTTTTTTTTTAATTTTTCTTTTAAAAATATAGTGTTTGCTTTGGTTTCATATTAACCAAGTACATGTTAGTATAGCCTATGCTGTGCAATATAATTTGACCTGGTAAGACTTCTTTCTTTTACACTAGAAATTAATTTTGTGCTATTCACGATAATGTCGTATATCACACAGTATTTTGCTTAGTGCTCCTTGCTTTTCAGAGCTGATACATTCTTTATGTTCCTCATCTGTAATTTCTTAGGAGACTGCGTTTATGAAATATCTTTAAAGTTTGTGTAAAAACTATATTGAAAGAAAGCAGTAAGTTTGGTTTTTATGAAATGCTCAGAGAGGCAGACAGACAGACGTGCCAAGGATCTCATGGCCAATTTATTTCCATCTTGCCATCTGGATGACCTGACCTGTTGGTTAGAATTTATTAGATCTGTGCCTCTCCTATTCCCTTTAAAAAAATAAAATAGTTTTCTTTCTAAAATAAATTAGCATTTTAGGAGGTAAAGGCATATCCTACATATCATAACAAGCCTCAGAACTCTGGTGTACTACTTGGGCAATTCCTTGTGTTAACTATGAATAAAGCCAGACTGACAATTAGTGGTCTTGGAGGGGAATAGTCCTGGTACAGTGACTTAGGGCCTTCTCCTTTCAAGACAATATTAACAGTTATAGCTAAAGATTTTGCAATCTCAGTATCTTTCAGAAAAAAAATAAACTCAGTGGTGGTATATATAATTCTTGATTGTTCATGGTTAATTTGTGGATTATTCATTCTTGTTTCTCTTATTACCTCATTTATACATTTTTGTGAACAAAAACTAGTATTTTACTTTAGCTTTACTAGAGTAAGCTGGGAAATGCAGTATTTTGAATTTCTGTATTTTAAATATTATTAGCCATTTATGTTTTTTAGAGATTTAAGTTAATAGAAAACTTGAGCTGTTTATTATGTGATGTCTACTTCATTGGAAGAGATCATTAGGAGTTTGTAAATATGTTATATTTGAGCATTTATTATTTATTTGATATATTTGGTCTTATCTACTTTTTCATCAGGTGGCCACCAAGTACTAAATTTACTTGGAAATAAAAGAAAAAATAACAGAAAGAAAATTATAAAAAGAAAAGTAAAGATAAGACTAAGAGCTTTGGACCTTAGCTTTAGCCTGTTTTCTCCTCCTTATAGACTGATCATTTGCTTTTAGATCATTCTATCTTTTAGGAAATGTATCTTTGACCTTCAAAATTAAAAATAATACTTTTTCTATGGCCAGACATGTATTTACTTTGGTCACAAATGGCATTCATCTATTGTCCATATGACATTATTGGTGTTTAAATTGATTGTAAGTTCCTTGAGGGAGGAATAGATTAAATCTAATGTTTTTTCCTCTTCTCTTTTCAACACAGTGTGGTGTTATCATGAAGTGTTTATTTATTTAACGTCAGGCTTTGGAATGTATGTTTCCTCTAGGGTAGAAGAACCTGTTTTTAAAGTGTTTTAAAATTATACCTTAGGTTTTTTATTAGCTCCTTTTAACTGTATCTGTACACCATCAGCAAAAGCTATAAATTTTCAGGCATATCGTATTATGGTTTAACATTGTCACAGGGATTGCAGGGCCAGTGAAAAATTCCCATCCTGTTCCTATTTAGGTTAGGATGTATTAATGTATATACATAGAGCTAGGCTAGAGAATCATAAGAAATTTTAAAAATAATAGTTATACAAGCTTCCTTTTTTCCTATGTGTCATTACTGTGGGGCTGCAAGAGTTGTAACAAATCCATATCTAGAAAAAGCAGTCAAATGCAGGGGAGCAAAATCCTTAGTTACCAAAATAAGGCAGGCACTGGGCAATTTCACTTTTGGGTATGCATATCTCTTCCCAATATTTTTGGTGTGTTTATAATAAATATGTTATTTTCTCCTTTTTAAAGGAGTTATATGTCTTAGAAGAAAGAAGCAAACCGTCATTTTGCACACGTAAATATATGAATATATTTCTGACATTGAGGTGTTCCAGAAGATGATAAAGAAATGATAGCAGCTCCAGAAATACCAACTGATTTTAATCTTCTACAGTAAGTAAATTATATTATGATAATTTTTAAATACCCCTTTTTCCTCTCAAAATGGGAAATGTATTAACTTGAGTTAAGTTCAGTTCTGCTTGGCCGGGCATGGTGGCTCACGCCTATAATCCTAGCACTCTGGGAGGCTGAGGCAGGAGGATCCCTTGAAGTTAGGAGTTTAATACCAGCCTAAGCAAAAGCAAGACCCGGCCTCTACCAAAAATAGAAAAAATTAGCCAGGTGTAGTGGTGGGCACCTGTAGTCTCAGCTACTCTGGAGGCTGAGCCAGGAGGATCACTTGAACCCAGGAGTTTTAGGTTGCAGTGAGCTATGATGATGCCACTGTACTCTACCTAAGGTGTCGGAGTGAGACTCTCAAAAAAATTTTTTTTACTTCTGCTTGAGAAGATCTAATATTTGCCATAGCATTTATACTTTGAAGCAGTTTATATCAACACTCATTGACCTCTGTAATAGTAATTATTCCCTACTTCTTTGGTGCTATGTTTTAAATTTATTTTTTAATTTATATACTGCACAAATTATTTTTTCTGTGTAGTTCTGAGTCTATACTTGACAACAACTGCTTTGAGGGAGCATCACGAGATTCTTAAAAAATTAAGTTTTCTCATTAGTGAGCAATATATACCATGAAGTAGTATTTAGGATGTAAAGTCAGGTTTTTGTTATAAACTCAAATGGTAATAGACTAAAAACAAATGTAGGAGGGTAGAACATGCAGCCCATAATTTTTGCAAAAACAGGTTACATGCATGATTGATTGATAAAATGATTTCAACATAGATACCGTCTTTACCCTCTTATTAAAAGCTACCTATAAAAAAAAAAGCTACCTATACTCATTAGTCAACTTTTATTCTAAGTGTTCCTTGGATTTTGATATAAGAAAGATTTTGAACTACCATATGTAACAATGACATTCATATTAAGCTATAGTTTCATAAGGTGCCTCAGTGAAAAGTGAACTTTAAACTGCCTGCGAATCCCTTTAACTTTAACACACACACACACAAACACACAGTATAACTCCACCACCCACCCCGCATTGTATTTCCATGAGACTTGATTTGATGAGAGTTTGGTTGCTACAAATTTTGAAGACAATGGATAGACCCCATTGTACATAATGGCAGCCAGTGTCTGCTTTTGATGTTTTGCAGATTTTCATATTTTTAGTAATTTTGTTATCTTTAGTGGAGCTTTGGTGGAGTCTACTGGGATCAAAGACATTAAGGTTCCCCCCAAACAGTATCTTTAATAGGATTTTTTTTTTTTTTTTGAGACAGAGTCTCACTTTTGTTGCCCTGGCTAGAGTGAGTGCGCGGCGTCAGCCTGGTCACAGAAACCTCAAACTCCTGGGCTCAAGCGATCCTACTGCCTCAGCCTCCAAGTAGCTGGGACTACAGGCATGCACCACCATGCCCAGCTAATTTTTGTATATATATTTTAGTTGGTCAATTAATTTTTTCTATTTTTAGTAGAGACGGGGTCTCGCTCAGGATGGTTTCGAACTCCCAACCTCGAGCAATCCGCCCGCCTCGGCCTCCCAGAGTGCTAGGATTACAGGCGTGAGCCACCGTGCCCGGCCTTTAATAGGATTTTATGTATTCCAGTTCTTTATTTGAAAAAGTTATTTATTACCTTGGTCAAAAATACTAAATGCCTGCTGTATACAGGAACATTGTATTAGATTCTGCGAGGAATTAAGTTAGATATTTCTGCCACCTTTATGAGCTCATAGTTTAAAGATATAAAGAGAAGATTATGAAATTTCTTAAATACATTAAGATATATAGCCGGGCGCGGTGGCTCACGCCTGTAATCCTAGCACTCTGGGAGGCTGAGGCGGCGGATTGCTCGAGGTCAGGAGTTCGAAACTAGCCTGAGCAAGAGCGAGACCCCGTCTCTACTATAAAGAGAAAGAAATTAATTGGCCAACTAATATATATATAAAAAATTAGCCGGCATGGTGGCACATGCCTGTAGTCCCAGCTACTCGGAGGCTGAGGCAGGGGATTGCTTGAGCCAGGAGTTTGAGGTTGCTGTGAGCTAGGCTGATGCCACGGCACTCACTCTAGCCTGGCAACAGAGTGAGACTCTGTCTCAAAAAAAAAAAAAAAAAAAAAAAAAAAAAAAGAATATATAGACAATTTACGCTTTGTATGGAACCAAAGAAGACCCCGAATATCAAGAGCAATTCTAGGCAACAAAAACAAATTGGGAGGCATTGATATGCCAGATATCAAACTATACTACAAAGCTGTAGTAATTAAACAATATGGTATTGGCACAAAAATAGAATATTGACCAGTGGAACAGATGTGAGAATCCTGATATAAAACCATCCTCGGCCGGGCGTGGTGGCTCACGCCTGTAATCCTAGCACTTTGGGAGGCCGAGGCGGGTGGATTGCTCAAGGTCAGGAGTTCGAAACCAGCCTGAGCGAGACCCTGTCTCTACCAAAAATAGAAATAAATTAATTGACCAACTAAAAATATATATACAAAAAAAAAAATTAGCCAGGCATGGTGGCGCATGCCTGTAGTCCCAGCTACTCGGGAGGCTGAGGCAGTAGGATCGCTGAGCCCGAGATTGAGGTTGCTGTGAGCCAGGCTGACGCCACGGCACTCACTCTAGCCTGGGCAACAAAGTGAGACTCTGTCTCAAAAAAAAAAAAAAAAAAAACCATCCTCATATAGCCATCTAATCTTTGACAAAGTAGACAAAAACATACGCTGGGGAAAAGAATCCCTTTTCAATAAATGGTGCTGGGAAAACTGGATAGCCACTTGTAGAAGGTTAAAACAGGACCCACACCTTTCACCTCTCACAAAAATCAACTCACGCTGGATAACAGACTTAAATCTCAGGTGTGAAACCATTAGAATTCTAGAGGAAAATGTTGGAAAGACTCTCCTAGACATCGGCCTAGGCAAAGAGTTTATGAAGAAATCCCCAAAGGCAATCAAAGCAGCAACAAAAATAAATAAATGGGACATGATCAAACTACAAAGCTTATGCACAGCCAAAGAAACAGTCATGAAAGTAAACAGACAACCTACAGAATGGGAGAAAATTTTTGCATCCTACGTATCCGATAAAGGGCTGATAACTAGAATATACTTAGAACTCACGAAAATCAGCAAGAAAAATCAAATAACCCTATTAAAAAGTGGGCAAAGGACTTGAACAGAAACTTTTCTAAAGAAGACAGAAGAATGGCCAACAAACATATGAAAAAATGCTCAATATCCCTAATCATCAGGGAGATGCAAATCAAAACTACAATGAGATATCACTTAACTCCAGTGAGAATGGCCTTTATCAAAAAGTCTCCAAATAACAAATGCTGGCGTGGATGTGGAGAGAGAGGAACACTCCTACACTGCTGGTGGGACTGCAAACTAGTTCAACCTCTGTGGAAAGCAATATGGAGATACCTTAAAGCGATACAAGTGAATCTACCATTTGATCCAGCAATCCCATTGCTGGGCATCTACCCAAATGATCCAATGACACTCTACAAAAAGACACCTGCACTCGAATGTTCATAGCAGCACAGTTCATAATCGCAAGGCTGTGGAAACAGCCCAAGTGCCCATCAATCAAGAATGGATTAATAAAATGTGGTATATGTATACCATGGAGTACTATTCAGCTCTAAGAAACAATGGTGATATAGCACATCTTATATTTTCCTGGTTAGAGCTGGAACCCATATTACTAAGTGAAGTATCCCAAGAATGGAAAAACAAGCACCAGATATATTCTCCAGCAAACTGGTATTAACTGAGTAGCACCTAAGTGGACACATAGGTACTACAGTAATAGAGTATGGGGAGGGGGGGAGGGGGGCGGTATATACATACATAACGAGTGATAGGCGCACCATCTGAGGGATGGTCATGCTGGAGACTCAGACTTGTGGGGGGAAGGGGGGCAGGGCATTTATTGAAACTTTAAAATCTGTACCCCCATAATATGCCGAAATAAAAAAAAAAGATAAAAAAAAAGTTTGTATAATGGACTAGACTGTTCACTATTAGAATATCTTGAATAATTAGAGCTTGAAATAGGATAAAAGGAAATTGATATGGAGGTAGAATAGACCTAGTATTTGATTGGGTATGTTGGGTGCGGGGAGGACAGTAAAGAGGATTGGAAGATTCGGTCATGTGATTGATGATTCAAGCCACTAAATGGTTAACACAATATGCTCCATAAGCATATATTTTATTTCACATGGGATATAGGATAGTTTTTTTGGTGGTGTTTTTTTTTTTTTAATCTTATAAACACAGGAAAGTGTTGAAGAAAGACAACAGAATGTTTCCTCTCTTGGAGGTATTTTAGACTCTCTTCTGATTACTCACTCCAGCTTTCTTGAAAAGGTTTTTCAGTTAGTAATTATACCTTTAGTAGCTCATTCTTTTAGTTGGGATAGCCTGGAGATTAGGATTAAAAGTGTAATTGAACCTTTGATTACTCTGGCCATTGGAATATTACAAAGACTAGTGATTGTTCGCAGATTTATAAAAGAGCTGATGGTCCCACACATGCCTTGGGACGAAAGAAATATTATTTTGTACACCAAAATATTTAAAAACATTTTTAATTTTTAATTTGCAAGACCATATAGGCATGTGAGAAAAATATTGATGACAACAATCTTAAGATATAATAGACATGAGTTTCAGGATTAATATTACAGTAGTCATTCAGTTTTTGGTGCATTAACTCTGGGTAATGGTATTTATTACAGGCCCTTTCCTCTCAACATTTTAGGACATAGTTAGGATTGCCACCATCTTCAGTACATTGTTTAAATTACTTTTGTAGGTAAGTGCTCTAAATAGTAATTTTTTTCCTATTAGCAACTTAACCATTACTTTAGATTTATGAAGTATTCCTATCTCAGTCTGTGCTACCTCATACCCTCTGGACAGCGGGTTATTGTAGCAATAAAAATGGTAATAGAAGAAATCTAGATTGAGAAGACTAGCTTTATAAAGATAGTCTTTTTGATTTTAGTTATTTTAACCAAAACTGGTACTAAGTTTACAGATTAAGGATGGTATAACCTTTATGGGTGTGGCTCAACTCTAAAATTTATTGTGACTCAAATACTCATGTAAGTATGCCTTGCCTTAAACATATAGATGAGGGTATTTTACTACTCTTTAGATAAACCCATGTTTACACATATAGAAAGCATCACACATGTTTATTTAAAGCAGTCTGCTTCCGTGTGTGTGAGAAAATCCAGATTATACAAAGTGGTTCCACCCCTCATCTGAAACAAGGGACAGTTTTTTAGGACTGTAGATTTATATGTGGGAGATTGAAGAGACTTTTAAAGATTTCATACTTTCTTGCTTATAAAGTATTTATAGATGAGAAGATTGAGAGGTTGTTACTTGTACAAGATCACACAGTTACTTAGTACCAGAACTGGTTCTCCTGACTATAGCTCACCACCGCTTTACTTCATAAAGCATTTTGATCACTTAGCACACTTTCCTACTATATTTCAAATGATTTACAGTAGTTTATAAAAATGTTTTATATAGGCTGGGTACGGTGGTTCATGCCTGTAATCCTAGCACTCTGGGAGGCCGAGGTGGGCGGATCCTTAGAGCTCAGGAGTTGAGACAAACCTGAGCAAGCAAGAGCGAGACCCTGTCTCTACCAAAAAAAGAAAAAATTAGCCTGACATGGCAGCGCATGCCTGTAGTCCCAGCTACTTGGGAGGCTGAGGCAGAAGGATCACTCGAGCCCAGGAGTTTGAGGTTGCTGTGAGCTAGGTTGATGCCACGGCACTCTAACCAGGGCAACAGAGTGGGACTCTGTCTCAAAAAAATAAAAGTTTTATGTATACTCTTTCAGAAATATGTATTTTATAGAGTGCTCAAAGCTAGATTTATAAATATTTTTTTGAATGAAGTAGGAGAGATCAGAGGGTCTATAATATTACTAAAATTCCCTAATTAACTTCATTCAGTGCCTAGTATTAAAATACAGTTTTCCCTCAGCACTATGGTCTGGAAACCAGAAAATGAAACCAGTTATTATAACAGAACACCACAGTCCCTAGGTTTAAATTTTGAGGGTCACTGGTTTAGTTTTCATGCTTTGATTAAAAGTGAACAAAATAAAAAATGTTTAGATATTTATAATTTAGAAGTTTTTTGTAGTTTAGGTAATCTTGTGTGTTTGGTACTGTGCTATATTATCATGTTTTGGAAAAGCGTCTTAATTATTTTAATTATAATATGGAGTTTTATAATGAGTTAACCAAGCTTTTCTTTTAGAAAATATGGCAAAAATTAGAAACTCCATCTACGTTTCTAATTATTGCTTATCTTCTTGACACAGGGAGTCAGAGACACATTTTTCTTCTGACACAGATTTTGAAGACATTGAAGGAAAAAACCAAAAGCAAGGCAAAGGAAAAGTATGTACCAAATATGTGACTTTATTTTGGCTTTTAAGATAGTGCATGTGCGCGTGTGTGTGTATAGTTAGCTCAGATATAGATAAATATATAGAGATTTAGGTATGTCTCAGATGTTGTCTTTTAAAAATGTCTTTTTAGGGGGCTGATTGGTGTGGTAAGCCTTCTGAATAAATGTGGTCCTTTTGTCTTGTAGACTAAATAGCTTCTGATTATCTATTTCCAATCCTGTAAAGTTGGAATTAATAATACATTATTGTTTCCAATAGTTTATTTATTTTGTAAAGCAAAGTATGCTAAGCAAAATGTGATATTCTGTTGTTTTTATTTTTTATTTTCCCACAACAGGTAAAATATGAAGCAAAGCAATACATAAAATTTGTTATTCTAAAGCACTCTAAAAATGTAACCTACAACTAGTTTTATGTCTAATCAGTTACAATGGATAATCATTTTACTCTTCATAAGTAATGTTAAGGATTAAAACTGATAAAGTTCTGAGTCAGTAGAATGCAAGTATGAGTACGAGTGGGTAGCCGGGAGCTATGGATAACTTGGTAAATGGTTAAATCATTTTGCTGTTTTGAAAAGTACGTTTGACTTTGTTCATGTTTGTAAATGTATCATGCAAAAGATGATTTGTTTTTGTTGTTCAGCAATTTCTTCCCCCAAAATGAATTTTGGATTTATATTTTTTCATGACCCATACTTACTTTGCAAAAGTCTAAACAATACAGAAATTTACATTGAACAAAGTGAAATTTTTCGATAATCCTCTTACTCAGAGGTGATTTTTTCTTTAAATATTTTGATGAATATACTTTCATATAATACATATACCTATATATAAACATGCATATAGAATTTTACTTAAATGGAATCATATTATGCACACTGATTATTTAATGTGCTTTACAAACTCAATGGTGTGTTGTCAACAACTTTCCTATCAGTGAATGTAAAACTCTTTGCAATTTTTATTATTCTATTCTTTTTATTTATTTATTTGTTTGTTTGTTTGTTTTTTGAGACGAAGTCTCTCTATATTGCCCAGGCTGAAGTAAACTGGCTATTCACAGGTTTAGTCATAACACAACACACTATGACCTCAAACTCCCCCCACCCCTTTTGAGACAAAGTCTCGCTCTGTCACCGTGGCTAGAGAACAGTGGCATTATCATAGTTCACTGTAACCTCAAACTCCTGGGCTCAACTGATCCTCCTGCCTCAGATTCCTGAGTAGTTAGGACTACAGGTGGACACCATGATGCCAAACTAGTTTTTTGCTATTTTTGTAGTGATAGGGTCTTGTTCTTGCTCTTGCTCAGGCTGATCTCAAACTCCTGAGCTCAAGCTATTCTCTGGACTCAGCCTTCCAGAATGCTAGGATTACAGGCATGAGCTGCCTCGCCTGGCCAGCCTTGAACTCCTAAGTTCAGGAGGTTCTCCTACCTCAGCCTCCTGAGTAGCTGGGACTACAGGCACGTACCACCACAATGACATCTGTGTAATTTTTAATGGTGGCATAATATCATATTTTATGTATGGAACATAATTTATTTAACTATTCCTGGAGGGTTTTTTTAGAGTGCTTATAACTCACGTGTTTCCTAATTTTATATGCTTTCTTTATAGTTCCTTATAAAGAAGTTTTGAGGCCGGGCTTGGTGGCTCACGCCTGTAATCCTAGCACTCTGGGAGGCCGAGGTGGGAGGATTGAACAAGGTCAGGAGTTCAAAACCAGCCCGAGCAAGAGTGAGACCCCCGTCTCTACTAAAAATAGAAAGAAATTAATTGGCCAACTAAAAATATATAGAAAAAATTAGCCAGGCATGGTGGCACATACCTGTAGTCACAGCTACTCAGGAGGCTGAGGCAGGAGGATCGCCTGAGCCCAGGAGTTTGAGGTTGCTGTGAGCTAGGCTGATGCCATGGCACTCTAGCCCGGGCAACAGAGTGAGACTTTGTCTCAAAAAAAAAACCAAAAAAATGAAAAAAAAAAGAAGCAGAAGTTTTGAGAGAGGAGTATGAACAGAAATGTTGTGACTATTCAAAGATAGCTTTAATTTTAGTGAGCTATTCATCAGAAAAATCACTTTTTCTTTATTCTACTTTTGCCTTTACAATTTGGAGCAAGATCCCTGGTGGCAGCGGAATAAAGGACTCCCTAAAGTTTTTGTGCCACAGTTTAGTTAAGTTTATATAGCCACTGCTGTGGGTGAGGTGTTAGGAGACAGATCAAGGATTTATTAGTATAATAAGAGCAACTGCATTTGACACCATACTAAGAATGTTCCATGGACTGTGCTAATGATTTTATATATATTAATCTAAATATTTGAACAACTTTGTGGATTGGAAAACTTCCTTATTTTATAGATAGAATACTGAGGTCCAGAGAATCCCATTGGTTAAAGAATTTGAGCTCAGGTGTGTGCCCTTAACCCATTATTGTACTACCTCTGAAAGTTTATTATTTTTTTGAGACAGGCTCTCTCTCTGTTGCTGGTGATAAGAGTACAGTGGCATCATCATAGCTCACTTCATCTTCCAACTGCCAGGCTCAAGCGATTCTCCTCCTTCAAGAGATCCTTCTGCCTTAGCCTCCCAAGTAGCGGAGGATACAAGTGTGTACCACCACGCCTGGCTACGTTTTTCTGTTTTTTGTAGAAACGAGGATCTCACTGTGTTGCTCAGGCTGGTCTCAAACTCCTGGCCTCTGATGATTCTCCCGCTTTGGCCTCCCAGAGTGCTGGGAGGCCACAAACATCCCAGCTACCACAACCTGGCTGCGAGAGTCTTTTTTTTTTAGATTTTTTTTTTTTTTTTGGTCCAAGATTGTACACAGGTTAGCATGTTTACTTCTGTACTTGTATTATCACTCCTTGCACATTTCTTTTCCTCTGGCACAGCATACCCATTGAGCCATTTTAATTGTACTAATTAGTTTTTCATACCGACAGGGACTATTGAGGCATTTAATAGATAAATTGCAAATATATAGCTCCATGTTAATTACATTAACATTTTATATTTTTCTGGTATATTCTTTATAATTGATCTTTTCTTTCACCCTTATCTCCAAAATTCCTTTTACTAGGGACAAAAGCTTTTCATTCTACAATTAGGAATTAATGAATTAGGTTCACAAAGACTGAATCTCATTTACAAAATATAATAGTCCCCTCTTATCCTTGGGGGTATATTCCAAGAACACTGTATATACTATGTTTTTTCAATATGATAACCAAGATGGCTACTAAGTAACTAACTGCCACGTGGATATTCTGGACAAAGGAATGATTTATGTCCCAGGCGGGACAAAGTGGGATGGTGAGAGATTTCATTGCACTAGTCATGAATTGTTTATTTCTGGAATTTTCCTTCTAATATTTTTGGACCTTGGCTAAATTAAGGATAACTGAAATGGAGGAAAGCAAAACTCAAGGGAGGACTACTGTAATGTAAATTAAATATATCTTTTAGGTGTTCAGGAGCAGTTTGAAGTAACTGTTAAGCATAGGGTGGTTTTAGACACTTGAAGGAGGAATTTTCTCTGTGGAATAAAGTGCACACACGTAGTAGAAATTTTGTGGGCGTGGCTGTATAATCAGGGGTCTGCAAACCACAGTTTGTTTTTGTACTGCCCACATCCTAAGAACAGGTTTTTACATTTTTAAAGGATGATAAATATAAGAATATGTGGCTGGGTGCAGTGGCTCACACCTGTAATCCTTTGGGAGGCCAAGTGGGGAACACTCCTGAGGCCAGGGGTTGGAGACTAGCCTGAGCAACGCAGGGAGCTCTCTCATTTCCACATAAAACAAAACAAACAAAATGTAGCTAGGCGTGATGGCATATGCCTGTAGTCCCAGATACTTGGGAGGCTGAGGTAGGAGGGTCTCTTGAGCCCAGGAATTTGAGGTTGGAGTGAGCTATGATGATGCCACTGCACTGTAGCCTGGGCAACAGTGAGACCCTGTCTCAAAAACGAAACAAACAAAAAAAATGAATATGCAACAGAGATGGTATGTGGCCCACAAAGCCTAAAATATTTATTACCCAGTACTTTATAGAATGTTTTGCTGATGCTTACTCTCTAGATCATAGAAATGTGTAAGTCTACAAGAAGGCTTAAAAATCTTCAAATCCAGGGATTGGAAAATATTTCTATGAATATTTTAATCCTTCCCTAGCATTTTAGAAATGAGGACTCTACATTAGGGAATGGCTTGTTTTTCTTGAACAAGGTATAAAAGCTGTGGGAGATATTTTAAAACTGAGGCATGTAGGGAACCTTTTCACTGATTTTTTAATCCCCCATCCCTAACACTTACAACTTTTCTATAATGAGGCTTCATTTCAATAGTGTTCATTAATTTAATTTTTATGATAAATAGGTATTGAAGGGAGGATACAGGGTAAGAATGAGATTGATAAACCTGTTCATACTGTTCAGAATTCCTTGTTCAGGGCGCTACAATGATTTATAAGACAATAAAAATCAAGTTAAAATGTTGAACTAAGGGCCGGGCGCGGTGGCTCACGCCTGTAATCCTAGCACTTTGGGAGGCCGAGGCGGGAGGATCGCTCAAGGTCAGGAGTTCGAAACCAGCCTGAGCGAGACCCCGTCTCTACCAAAAACAGAAATAAATTAATTGACCAACTAAAAATATATATAGAAAAAATTAGCCGGGCATGGTGGCGCATGCCTGTAGTCCCAGCTACTCGGGAGGAGGCTGAGGCAGGAGGATCGCTTGAGCCCAGGAGTTGGAGGTTGCTGTGAGCCAGGCTGATGCCACGGCACTCACTCTAGTCTGGGCAACAAAGTGAGACTCTGTCTCAAAACAAAAAAAAAAAAAAAAAAAAAGTTGAACTAAGTATAAGTTGCTTATTTGATAGAGAGTTTTGTTATTCTTACTGCCTACTCCACTCTGTACCTTAAAACAGCATAAGGGAGTATTTTAAAGCTTATAGACAGCCACCCTGATTTCCTGTACTCTTGGGATTTCTCTGATTATACTTCAGAGAGATTTTTGCAGTGGTTTTCAAACTTTGTTGATATGTTGAAGGTTTTTAATGTGATTTCACATTACTTTTCAAAATTGATTCAAATCTGGGTTTTGTGTCAGCGTTCAGTTCGGTCTTTCTAACAAATTTAGATTTAAGTATCATTTATTTTGCTCCTCTTCATATATTTTCTCATTTTACATTGATACCAGTAGCAGACATTTTTCTGACTTTATTATGTGCTGGATATGTTGCTAAGTACTTAGTTTTCATTGTCTCAGCAAACCTATGGTGTAGGCACAGTTTTATCCTCAGTAGAAAAAAGTCTCTGAAGCCAAATGTGGTTAAGTAACTTGTCTAAAATCACTCAGCTCATAGAAATAGCAATTTGGACCTGTGCAGTCTGTAGAAATTTTGCTCATAACTATTAATATAATGTTATGTGAGATATGATAGTATAAATGAAAACAATTGACACCACAAGGAGGCTGTTGTAACTATCATTTTGTTACAATATATGCAGATGACATTCTTTAGTTCAAGTTTAAGCAGCTCATAATTATGTTCCCTATCAGCTGCTTCTGCAGTAGCTTTGTTTTGAAATCTTAAGGATGATGATATAACTTAACCACCTTTTTTTTTTTTTTTTCCTATGTAGACTTGTAAAAAAGGCAAAAAGGGCCCAGGAGAAAAGGGCAAAAGTGGAAATGGAGGAGGAAAACCTCCTTCTGGTCCAAACCGAATGAATGGTCATCACCAACAGAATGGAGTGGAAAACATGATGTTGTTTGAAGTTGTTAAAATGGGCAAGAGTGCTATGCAGGTAATATTTATGGTGTTCTGCTCGGTTTATTTGTACATTTAAAACTTTCGTGAGTTATATAAAGTATAGCCCTGATTTTTCTTATTGCATCTAAAAAATACACTACTTATTAGAAAAACAACCACCTCTGAAAATTTTAGGGACCTGTCTATTCATACGTAAGACCTTTATGCTGTGTCTTGAGTAATTTTCTGCTACATTATTGGAGACTAGCCTGAGCAACGCAGGGAGCTCTCTCATTTCCACATAAAACAAAACAAACAAAATGTAGCTAGGCGTGATGGCATATGCCTGTAGTCCCAGATACTTGGGAGGCTGAGGTAGGAGGGTCTCTTGAGCCCAGGAATTTGAGGTTGGAGTGAGCTATGATGATGCCACTGCACTGTAGCCTGGGCAACAGTGAGACCCTGTCTCAAAAACGAAACAAACAAAAAAAATGAATATGCAACAGAGATGGTATGTGGCCCACAAAGCCTAAAATATTTATTACCCAGTACTTTATAGAATGTTTTGCTGATGCTTACTCTCTAGATCATAGAAATGTGTAAGTCTACAAGAAGGCTTAAAAATCTTCAAATCCAGGGATTGGAAAATATTTCTATGAATATTTTAATCCTTCCCTAGCATTTTAGAAATGAGGACTCTACATTAGGGAATGGCTTGTTTTTCTTGAACAAGGTATAAAAGCTGTGGGAGATATTTTAAAACTGAGGCATGTAGGGAACCTTTTCACTGATTTTTTAATCCCCCATCCCTAACACTTACAACTTTTCTATAATGAGGCTTCATTTCAATAGTGTTCATTAATTTAATTTTTATGATAAATAGGTATTGAAGGGAGGATACAGGGTAAGAATGAGATTGATAAACCTGTTCATACTGTTCAGAATTCCTTGTTCAGGGCGCTACAATGATTTATAAGACAATAAAAATCAAGTTAAAATGTTGAACTAAGGGCCGGGCGCGGTGGCTCACGCCTGTAATCCTAGCACTTTGGGAGGCCGAGGCGGGAGGATCGCTCAAGGTCAGGAGTTCGAAACCAGCCTGAGCGAGACCCCGTCTCTACCAAAAAATAAAAAGGAAACTAATGAAATGCAATGTAACGGCCGGGCACGGTGGCTCACGCCTGTAATCCTAGCTCTCTGGGAGGCCAAGGTGGGCGGATTTTTTGAGCTCAGGAGTTCGAAACCAGCCTGAGCAAGATCGAGACCCCATCTCTACTATCAATAGAAAGAAATTAATTGGCCAACTAATATACATAGAAAAAATTAGCTGGGCATGGTGGCGCATGCCTGTAGTCCCAGCTACTCTACTCGGGAGGCTGAAGCAGAAGGATTGCTTGAGCCCAGGAGTTTGAGGTTGCTGTGAGCTAGGCTGACGCCACGGCACTCACTCTAGTCTGGGCAACAAAGTGAGACTCTGTCCCAAAAAAAAAAGAAATGGAATATAACATAACTTAGATAATTTATCCCTTTGATAACATTATCCCAAATTAGGAACTGGAGAGAAAAAATTAATTTTTAAAATTAGGGAATGACTAAACCATATAGCACAGTAATATAATAAGACATTATTTATTTTTAAAAAGCCAAATGTATATTCAAAACAATCACTTAAACATTAAGCAAGAAAAAGAGTCCACATCCTAATGACAACTACAACTTTAACAAATTAATAAATGAAGGTGAATTAGAATGCTGAAAATGAATTTGTGCCTATTAAGTTCTCTATTCTATAAAACTGGTGAAAGCTCAACTTAGTAAGTATTTTTACATTTTACACATAAAATTTCTCCTTATTAGTCTCAATTGATATTTTAAATTTTGTTTACAAAACCATACGTATTTAGACAATTCTAGATTTGTTAACAAGTTTCGTATTTCAGATTTTATAAATAAAAAGTCTAAGTGGCTAATTCTCAGAAAACCATCTGTGTGAACCTGTCATTGATTAAAATCAATTCTATGAAGAAAAACTATTCCCTATAGCTTTCATAAATTAAATAAAAACTTTATTAGACAAAGATATGCCTCCAACTTTTTACTCATCTAAGAAACATGCACAAACAATAAAATTTGTAATAACAACAAAGATCAAAACAACTTAATTCACTAAAGTGGACAGTGATTATATAGGTCACTCAATCAAGAATTCTATATGGGCAGAATACTTCACATTTTAATACCAGCTATATGAATTCAGGGGAAATTGAAACCTCAAAGCCAGAATTTACATCAGCATACTTTCTGACCAAATAATATCTTATTTTATGCCATTAAAAAATAATAATGTAGGCTGGGCGTGGTGGCTCACGCCTGTAATCCTAGCTCTCTGGGAGCCGAGGCGGCGATTGTTCAAGGTCAGGAGTTCGAAACCACCCTGAGCAAGAGCGAGACCCCTCTCTACTATAAATAGAAAGAAATTAATTGGCCAACTAAGTATATATAGATAAATTAGCTGGGCATGGTGCGCATGCCTGTAGTCCCAGCTACTCGGAGGTGAGGCAGGAGGATTGCTTGAGCCAGGAGAGGTGCTGTGAGCTAGGCTGACGCCACGGCATCACTCTAGCCTGGCAACAAGCGAGATCTGTTCAAAAAAAAAAAAAATAATGAATGTAGCAGAAAATTACTCAAGACACAGCATAAAGGTCTTACGTATGAATAGACAGTCCCTAAAATTTCAGAGGTGGTTTTTTCTAATAAGTAGTGTATTTTTTAGATGCAATAAGAAAAATCAGGCTATACTTTATATAACTCACTAAGTTTTAAATGTTACAATAAACGAGCAGAACACCACTAAATATTACCTGCAAGCATCTGCCATTTTAACAACTTCAAACACATCATGTTTTCACTCATATCTGTTGGTGATGACCATTCATTCGGTGTGGACCAGAAGGAGGTTCCTCCTCCATTTCCATTTTTTGCCCTTTTTCCTGGCCCTTTTTGCCTTTTTTACAAGTCTCATAGAAAAAAAAAAAAAAAGGGGTTAAGTTATTATCATCATCCTTAGATATTCAAAACAAAGCTCTGCAGAAGCAGCTGATAGGGAAATAATTAATGAGCTGTTAAACTTGAACTAAAGAATGTCATCTGCATATATTGACACAAATGATAGTTACAACAGCCTCCTTGTGGTGTCAATTGTTTTCATTATACTATATATCTCACATAACATTATTAGATATTTATGAGCAAAATTTCTACAGACTGCACAGGTCCAAATTGCTATTCATGAGCTGGAGTGATTTTAGACAAGTTACTTAACCACATTTGGCTTCAGAGACTTTTTTCTACTGAGAATAAACGTGCTACACCATATTTGCTGGAGCAATGAAACTAAGTACTTAGCAACATATCCAGCAATAATAAAGTCAGAAAAATGTCTGCTACTGGTATCAATGTAAAATGAGAAATATGAAGAGGAGCAAAATAAATATACTTAAATCTAAATTGTTAGAAAGACCGAACTGAACGCTGACACAAAACCCAGATTTGAATCAATTTTGAAAGTAATGTGAAATCACATTAAAAACCTTCAAACATATCAAAAGTTTGAAACCACTGCAAAATCTCTTGAAGTATAATCAGAGAATCCCAAGAAGTACCAGAAATCAGGTGGCTGTCTATAAGCTTTAAAATACTCCCTTATGCTGTTTTAAGGTACCGAGTGGAGTGGCAGTAAGAATAACAAACTCTCTATATAAGCAACTTATACTTAGTTCAACTTTTTTTTTTTTTTTTTGTTGAGACAGAGTCTCACTTTGTTGCCCAGACTAGAGTGAGTGCCGTGGCATCAGCCTGGCTCACAGCAACCTCCAACTCCTGGGCTCAAGCGATCCTCCGCCTCAGCTCCTCCCGAGTAGCTGGACTACAGGCATGCGCCACCATGCCCGGCTAATTTTTTCTATATATATTTTTAGTTGGTCAATTAATTTATTCTGTTTTTGGTAGAGCGGGTCTCGCTCAGGCTGTTTTTGAACTCCTGACCTGAGCGATCCTCCCGCCTCGCCTCCCAAGTTAGATTACAGGCGTGAGCCACGCGCCGGCCTTAGTTCAACATTTTAACTTATTTTTTTGTCTTATAAATCATTGTAGCGCCCTGAACAAGGAATTCTGAACAGTATGAACAGGTTTTTCAATCTCATTTTACCCGTATCCTCCCTTCAAATATTTATCATAAAATTAAATTAATGAACACTATTGAAATGAAGCCTCATTATAGAAAAAGTTGTAAGTGTTCGGGATGGGGGATTTAAAAATCAGTGAAAAGGTTCCCTACATGCCTCAGTTTAATCATCCCCACAGCTTTTATTACCTTGTTCAAGAAAAACAGCCATTCCCTAATGTAGAGTCCTCATTCTAAAAATGCTAGGAAGGATTAATAAATATTCATAGAATATTTCCAATCCCTGGATTTGAAGATTTTAAGCCTTCTTGTAGACTTACACATTTCTATGATCTAGAGGTAAGCATCAGCAACATTTATAAAGTATGGGTAATAAATATTTTAGGCTTGGTGGCCACATACCATCTCTTTTGCATATTCATTTTTTTTGTTTGTTTTCGTTTTTGAGACAGCTCACTGTTGCCCAGGCTACAGTGCAGTGGCATCATCATAGCTCACTCCAACCTCAAAATCCTGGGCTCAAGAGACCCTCCTACCTCAGCTCCCAGTATCTGGGATACAGGCATATGCCATCACGCCTAGCTACATTTTGTTTGTTTTGTTTTATGTGAAATGAGAGAGCTCTGGCTTGCTCAGGCTAGTCTCCAACCCCTGGCCTCAGGATGTTCCCCACTTGGCCTCCCAAAGGATTACAGTGTGAGCCACTGCCCCAGCCACATATTCTTATATTTATCATCCTTTAAAAATGTAAAACCTGTTCTTAGGATGTGGGGCAGTACAAAACAAACTGTGTTGCAGACCCCTGGATTATACAGCCACGCCCACAAAATTTTACTACGTGTGTGCACTTATTCCACAGAGAAATTCCTCCT